CCCCAAAACCCCAAAACCCCAAAACCCCTTGAAATAAGTATTTGCGCAAAAAAGGAACCAAAGAAACTTGGGAATCAAAGTTTGTATTAATTACTTATTTTATATATTTTAGCTAGGTTTGAAAGATTTTGAGAAAATTAATTTAATCTAAACCCTTTAATGATCACTCATGAAGTATATTAGAAAGTGACGGGACTCCGAGAGGACTGATTTTCCCTACAAAAAATGGAGTTTTATTATATGGAGTATCTCTATTGTCATTGTTGATACTTTACTAAGAATTGTTTGCGACAAATTACTATATATTTATTGGGCTTTTTGTATTAGCAATGCTGCTGTTTGCATTACCGCTGCTCTAATTTTATTATCCACTTTGAGATAATTTGAGTTGCTGCTCTTTTTACCAGCAGGTATTGTTAGTAAAATTAGAGTAATAATTAGTTGATTCCATTTCATTGAAGATATCTAAAATGTAAAAATTTAGATATGAAGCTTACCGTTCGCCATTATCATAGTACCATTTCCAATCAGAGGTGAGTTCATATAGTGATAATGATCATTTTTATCCATGAAGCTATTATGAATATCAAGCATTTCTGTTTTAATTGGTTTATATGGAGAACTTAAGTTGTACATGTTGGCCTTATTACCGAAACTGTTAAACTTGAATTTCAAAGGAGTGTTCATGATAGAATTAGGATTTGAAATGAAATTTCCCCCACCATTATTGTTGTTATTTCCAAAATCACTCTATTTTCTGACAGCTTAGCTTTCATTAAAACCGGAATTCTATGAGAATACATTTTCATGATACTGTTGGCTGTTATACTCTCTTTACTGTTGAATATTATTTTAAGAGAGCTACTATAAATCAGCTTGTGATAAAGGGGCTTCATCACAGAAGAGTTAAGTCTCAATCATTTGCTCATCTTCAATGCTAAATTTATCTCTCAAATATTGCTGTAATTATGGTTGCAGCAAATTTTTAATATCATCATTGGTCATTGTGTTGAGATTGATTTTCTACATTACATGGTTTTCATTGACGATTTCAAACTATTTATCAGTATTCACAATCATTTGTTCTTAGTCTTCCTTTTGTAGAATATCAATTTAAGAATCCTTCTCTAAAAATAATTTTATAAAATTTGGTATACTTAATCTCAGTACAACGAAAGGAACATCTATTTTAGTCTTCGAAGATAAATTATTCTATTGCTGCATTAAATAGTTTCGCGCCACTAGTTTTTTCAAAGCCATTTACTAATGATAATCTGAAAGCATGATATCTTACCTATTAGGCTATTTCTAGCATGAAAGCAGTCTTAGCCTCAAGTCTCATTTTAACATCATCAATCTCCTTTGTCAACTAATATTAGAAAGTTTAATACAAAATAATTTGAGGATTTTTTGCATACCTAATCACTTTAGATGATCTATTAATCTTGATTGACTCTTGATTCTTAAGTTTACTAGAGTAATCCATTATACCCCTTGAATGTTATTCTATTTCTATCCTTGGTGATAACGTCTAAAGCACTCAACACATTCAGGGCATCGTAAACCCTTCTTTGAACATTCTTGAAATCTAGACTCTATTTCGATTAAAATACATTATTACCATGTTACGTTCTTTGTAGATTTCAAGAATATGATTAGCAATCTATCATATCAAATTAAAATGGATATTTTTACATTGGTTCCGGTAGTTTCTTTTTTTGTTGAAACTTCTTCGAGGACCTTTTTAGACAAGAAAACAAGTTTTTTGTTTTCTGATGATCTTTTTTTGCGAGCATACTTGTAGTATTTATTTGGCTGTTGAATCGCGCTATAAATGAAAATATAAATTATTAAATAAAGAGAGAGCGAATTAATTGCTGCTGAAAAAAGTTATCTTACCTTTCCTCTCCATCGCTCATTTCTTGCTGCTGCTTCATATCCTCATCAGATTCACTCTCTAAAACAATAAAATTTACTTAATATTTTTGTGCTTTCACGAAACTTACAGTTAGAATCAGAAATTGATTCAACTATCTCCTCTTCTTGATTGTAATTTTGAAGTATGCTTGCTTGAGGTTATACTTAATCAATAGTGAAATCTTCATTGGGATGCAAGTTTCTCGTGTGTGATTCCTTCGATTCAAAATCTCTTGTGTTGTAGTTTCTCTTACCAATAATACCTAATTTGGGTTTATATAAGGTCATGAGAAGAATTAGATTTATTTACCTTTTTCTCTGATTGGTGAATAAGAATGCATTTCTAAGTTAAATCTAATAAGTCATTAAATATATTTTGCAACTTATATTTACTCAATTATCAAATCCACGATCTTCACGGACCCCAGGGGTTTTGGGGTTTTGGGGTTTTGGGG